TCGAATGGGGTGAGACTCATGCATTGAACGATGGCTCTGTAAGCATTCCGGACTCTTTAACGCAGTTATCTGCTGGCGGAGGGTCGGGTGTTGTGCTGAGTGACGGCACGCTCGTGTTCCCCATGCAGGCCACAAAGACGGGAGGAAAGACTGTCTTGCTGGCCATGCGCTTCACCAAGTCAAAGAGGAAATGGGAGCTTTCATACAGTACGATGGCTGCAGACTGCCGGGACCCATCCATAGTGGAGTGGGATGGCCAAACACTCCTCATGATTGCTTCGTGTGGGGACGGCTACTACCACGTGTACGAGTCCGCCTCGGGTGGGAAAATCTGGTCTCAATTGGGCGTGCCAATTACCCGTGCGTGGGAAAACTCACAGAATCGTCAGGCGGGCGGCGCCCAGAGCGGCGTCACCACCGTGGAGATTGAGGGAAGGAAGGTGATGCTCCTCACCGTGCCGGTGTTAGCAGAGGAGGGGTCAGGCGCCGCAAAAGGAAAGGGTCGGCTGCGTCTTTGGCTCACTGACACTGTTCACACCGTTGACGTTGGCTCGGTGTCTCGTGAAGGGGATGACGCGGGCGCCGGCTCCCTGCTGTACGGAAGTAAGAAGAAGGAGTTGATTTTGCTGTACGAGAAGAAGACGAGTGGAGATTCGTACAGTCTTGTGACTGTGAATCTGACTGCGCAGCTGCAGCGGGTGCACGAAGTGGTGAGGACGTGGAAGGATGTGGACAACACTCTAAAAACCTGCAGTGCCAGTGGCCAAGCAAAGGGGCTGTGTGCGGGTCCCGTTCCCACAAAAGGACTGGTCGGCTTTTTGTCTGCCAAATCAACCGGGAGTGAGTGGGGGGACGAGTACTTCGGCGTGAACGCCACGGTAACTCAGGGAAAGAGACGGGTTCCCAATGGTGTAACATTCCAAGGCGCAGGAGCAGGGGCTGTGTGGCCTGTTGCCAAAGCGGGGCAGATCCAACTGTACTGCTTCGCGAAAAACAGGTTTACTCTTGCGGCGACGGTGTCGATTCACGCGTCGCCAGGAAAAGACGGCAGCTCTATTCCCTTGATGGGCGCGAAGATGATGGACGCAAACAGCACTGTGCTCTTTGGCTTGTCATACACGAGGGCAAAGAAGTGGGAGGTGACGGTCAACGGGAAGTCTCGGAATTTGTCAGCTGATGCTGGGGAGTGGGTGGATAACGCAACGTACCACGTTGCACTGTGCATGCATGACCTCAACGATTGGCATGTGTACGTTGATGGAAAGAAGATTTGTTCAAGTAACCGTGTTGGGCACTTCATGAAGAGAGGCGCGATCTCACACTTCTACGTTGGTGGCGACAGTGCGAAAGGCGCTGAGGGCAGCCACCATGTGACGGTGGCCAACGTCCTGCTGTACAACCGCCTGCTGGAAGAGGGTGAGGTCCAGACGCTCGCCGCCAGAAAAGTAACCATTCCACCGCCGGAAGCTGAAAAGCCGCCCATACCGCAGGGGACTCGGGTGGGGGGTGAGGGTGCTGCCGGCGCCCAGCCCCTGCCCGACGTTGTTACTTCCAAGAGCACCGCCGGCCCGAGGGCGAAGAGTTCAAAGGCTGACAGCTCCGTGCGTGGGTGTGGGGCTGCGGTGCTGCTGCCGCTTCTTCTGCTGGGGCTGTGGGGCGGCGTGTCGCTGGTGTGAGCGGAAGGGAGCAGCAGGGGGGAGGTGCGGCCCGCGCTGGAAACGACGTCGGCTCCTTCCCGCTCGTTAATTTCTTTGTTTTGGGAGCCCCTTTTCCTTCTTTTTTTGATTTTTGCTTTTTTTTTGCTGTGCGCACACCCTTCCGTTGGAGGGGCGGGCTCCCCGCACGATTGTTCGCTGCTCTCCGCCCCGCACACGCCGAAGAGGGCCGCCGCGCTGCAGCGATGAGGCGGCCACGAGGCGGAGCAGCAACGCCGCGCAGAATGCCGCCATGAAATGCAACTGACTGCGTGGGCATGCGGCGGACCACAATGGGGCGAAACAGACATGACTTTT